TTTATCTTCCATTCGACTTCGCAGTTACGTATATTACTGAAGAACCACTGAATTCGACATTTTTTGAATTCAAATCACAGAATTAGACTGACAGAAGTGACATCAGATATTTGAATACTTCAAAAGAATGATAAAGATGCCTACAACGCAGCTGTCCCTACTGTTAACAACTTTGTCCTGATTCAACCAACCTCGTATCTCGTATAATAACTGAAATCCCCATGGTGAAGCTCGAAAAACGGGCACCCTGTATATATATTCATCCCAACTCTCGATATTCCATCTGATAACAATCAACTCTGCAGGGAAAATCTAAAAATGCAATGGAATACAGGGTGTTTGAAATAACAAAGTTGATGCTACTTTTCGTGAGAAGCGGCAACACCGCAGCGCTGGAAACATTTTAGAACGATGTCTCCCTCGAAAATGTAGTTGCTGTGTTCTAGTGTTTTTTCATAATCTGGTCTCTGTCTTTCTTTCAATGTGCAACTCTATGGGTATAGGAAATTACTCAATATTCATATCACACTCATTTGTTTCTAGAGAATCAGAGTGAAACGATATTTCACTTTTATTCTTAAATAATTGCATTTGCTTTAGTCTTGCCCTTTCTACAATTATACAGGGTCCTTATATAGATAGTCAAGAAGATTATTCATAAAAGTAAATTTAAACTTATATGACGAGAAATTATGCCATGTATATTAGCACATTCTTTCAAGCATTCCAGTGTTGACCTTAGTCAACCTTTTCAAAATTATTGACAATGTGTGTTTGTGAAAATTCTACACCAAACATTTTCGACCAAGTGAAAGCCTGTGTTTGGTATCGTTACCATAGCAACTTAACAAATTTTAGGAAATTTTGCCTAGCAACTTAACAAATTTTAGGAAATTTTGCCTCGTCCTAGGGAGGAGGAGCATTGAATTACACTGGAAGTTTTTCGACGTTCATATATAGGTGGAATGGCATTCATTTAACATTTAATCCCAGATTATTATTTATTATTTCCTTAAACCAAGGTCGTTTAATTGATTTTTATTTAACCTGATAAAGTTACTTGAGCTAATTCCCTTGATCCTTAAGTATTTCCTTGTGAGAAACTTCATAAACTTTAGTAAAAAGAATTTGTGAAAAACTGAGAAATTGATCAACTATATCGACTAATATTTTATTAATTTGTGTAACTAAAAGTCAGTTAATTGTGTTTTATTTATCCTAACATTGTTGTGGATGATATGAATTTTATTGATACTACCATCATACTGTTTCAAGTTCCTAGTAACAAAAAAAAATCAACTAACTTCAATAGAATGAAGTTATTCAAGAACAATGGTTTGAACTACCACTAGTGCCTTATTATTATTTTGTGTAACTGAAGTCGGTATTTTGATTTAATCTCATTCTAGTATGTTCAAAAATACTTCAGTGTGAAATGTTCTTCCCAAATGCCACTCTAGCTTCAATTATTAAAAAGTTTCCAGTCATGGGTGAAAACTCCACATGGTAATCATGGTTTTCATGCTCCAACAATATTTTCTTTTAATATTAATAATTATGTAGATAGAGGTTTTTCTAGTATGCACCTGCAAGTGAAATAATTTCGACAAAAAAAAACAAGTGACTGAGACATGAGTAATCAATACTATCAGAGTTTGCAGGTCTCTGGAATATTTCAATATATATGCGCAAGCCACTAGTGCCTTATTATTATTTTGTGTAACTGAAGTCGGTATTTTGATTTAATCTCATTCAAGTATGTTCAAAAATACTTCAATCATGGTTTTCATGCTCCAACAATATTTTCTTTTAATATTAATGATTATGTAGGTAGAGGTTTTTCTAGTATCATCTAGTATGCAACTGCAAGTGAAATAATTTCGACGAAAAAAACAAGTGACTGAGACATGAGTAATCAATACAAGCAGAGGTTGAAGGTCTCTGGAATATTTCAATATAAGGTAGGTGAATACAATATGCGCATGTTTGTATTATGCGCACGGGCCGTAGTTTGGTTGTTTCATGAAAGATGGCAGCACACAACATACACCCAGTTTTCTGTCAACCTACTGTCAGATTTTAGTCGGTAAGACAGCAATCCGCAAACGTTATCAGACTAGTAGTTTTTCATTATTCGCGAAAATCACGAACCAATAGATGGCTCTATTAAATGCCAAATCAACGTCAAATTTCAAACTGAGTATGAACAACAAAAACATTGCCGTATGCACTCATTGCAAATTGGTTATTTCGAAATCATTTTGCAAAATAGTGAATGATGAGTTGACTTCGTGAAATACGTACAAGGTTTCCAGTATGGAAAAAATTACTCTTTGTGCAGAGAAATTGCCATTTTGATGTGGACAATGGTGGTATTCATCATTGATTTCACACTACAATTCCACAGTTTTCAAACATATGGAATGGTCGGAATGGTCCACTCAACACTTGCATGGACTGCTGGAATGGAGCCATATAAGCAATCAGCTATTACAACAATATGGTATATCTCTCTACTGTGGTATAGGTATAAAGAAATAATTGAATTCATCAAGAAATATCACTGGCTTTTATGAAGGAGATGGAATTTTGGTGAAAGGGCTGGGAAAAAAAGATATGGTTGGAGAGGCTGCTCAGAATGAACAATATCATCGATTTACATAAACGAGGATCTCCAGCAATTGAAGACTTGAAGTTATTCTCAAGATCGAATCATTGCAACCAACAACAAGTTAGCCACCAGAGGCCGCACACTTCGTGATTTTCGCGAATAGAGTTATGAAAGACAATGTTAATGATTTGCAATATTTTGTGTTCCATACATGGGTATTGAAGCTTAGATTGTGGTGGAAAGCAATCGATTTAAGCTAACACTCAAGACGAGAGCATTACCTAACCTAATTTAACTTGATGTGTAGCAATATGCCCATCATGCGAAGTTGACAATATGCACATGGGCTACAGTTCTTAAATCTAAGTACATCAGCACCTAAAAGAAGTGTTAGATGGAAGAAACTCATGATATGCGCTTGTGCATTATCTGCAGAAAAGATGGTCATGAGGATTGTGTTGGTTTGATAACTATAAGGAAATTGAAGTCATTTTCATATTTGATAATTCTCGACTTTAGCATGAATTGGCGTCTTACTGATACCGTGTTGGCAATATGGCCATTCAAACTTTTTTCTGAATGGGATAATAAATTTTCACATTTACAAACCAATTTTTCATAGCAATTAATTTTTTTAGGTACTGAACATCTTTATCATGAAGTGATTGCCGTAGTACCTCATTACCCACTATTTTTTACAAAACAAGATGATGGCCCAAGGTGGGCATATTGTATTCACCTACCTCACATGGCATTTCATTAAAAAAAAATGCCCTCGCAGTTGTCTGGATCGTTTTTGGTACACCCTGTATAGGCACGTTATACGCACAATTATTATAGATATTGTTGGCTCAACTATCTTTTGTAATCATCAAACATAAAATTGTTGCATTCTGAACGATTATTCATTTTTAATGATAGAATGGCGACAAAGGAAAGTAGGTGAGTACGTACTCAATGAAGGCCTTGCTGAATCTTGTCTTTTCCTTCATTAACTATCTATTTGAAAGGAATTTTGAAACTGCCTCATTATTGTTTCGGATGTACATTATTTCAATCCAATAAATTATACAGGGTTTGCATTCACAGAATTGAAAAAAAGAATATTATAATAATATATATTCAGTTCATATAAACATATGCCCTAAACCTCATGGAATGGCAAATATAGGGTTTCTATAATGATCGTAGCATCGTAGTAGCCGTTGAAATATTTTCTCCATTTGCCGCCTTTCATTTATGGAGATTCACACATTCGAATTCAATTTCTGACATCAATCATTATACTGTCATAGCTGATGAACTCACAATTGTCAGTTTCTCGATGAAATTTTCAAACGATTCTGTTTTCTACTTCGTGATTGTCGTGTTGAAAAGAGGGATGGCTTATTCCTCGGAGCAGGATACCTTTATTGTAATGTCTTATTGTCGAAATGGCACATTCATCAATGGTGGATGGAGTTACTCGGTAGTAGCCTGCAAGGATCTTCTTTGAAAGCCCACATCAGAAAAAGGAATCAACAGGAAGGCCCCAAATATCGGAATGAGTTGTCGAAAATTGTGTAACAACACCATTAAAATTTGTGGAGATGGCTCCGAGCATTCCTTCCTTCTTTTGTTTTGAGAAAAGGACTTCTACCAAAGATTATCAGCTTGTCTTTCAAATCAGATGAGATATCGCATCTAAAAGAATGTTTGTAACACCCTGTATTTGGGAAATGATACGCGAATCCTAGAAGGGTTATAGTGACCAAGCAGTTTTATCAAAGAGTGACTCTATTGTTAGAAATTACTCAACTTCTGATATTGTCATATCAAATGATGAATGGTGGTCTGGAATTGAATGTTTATTTTTGAATAGTTGATCGATTTCAGACTATTTAGCATTGGAAATTATTGTTCTTTCTGTAAAGAGAACAATAATAATTTTAATTGCGCGGAATACATTTTTAGAAATATATTGATTTCAATTTCATTGGTAGTTGAATCTGTGCTTTTGATTTTTTTTTGTTACTCAAGGTCAAATTGGCTGGGTCAAATAGTATAATGTGGTGAATTTACATAACATTACTAAATGAAATCATCAGTAGACTATTTCCATACAAAGCTTATAGTACCTACTTAGAATCAATTCTGTAGTAACTTTGGAATTTGAACAAAAACATAGTTAACATAGAGTCTCTCTAGAGATTTTTCGAAAATATCTTCAGACACAGTTCCAGGTGGCATATTTTATTTTAATGTCCAAAAAGTACAGCATGGTCCAGAAAATGGATTGTTAGTTTTGTGAATTAGATATTATTCCATATTTGGTTAGGGTACGTGAAACAACTACCCATTCAAATATAAAATTCACACCGCATAAATACAATGATGGTCTTTATTACAGGTCTCGGTATTGTCTACCAAAATGTCTGGACTATTCGGATTGATGGATGGTTACAAACACTTCATGGAGAAACATTCTGGTAAGTTATTTTCATAGATGAACATGTAAATTTATTCAGGCACTTATTTTCATATAAAACTTTCTCATATAATTTCTAGACTTCATCATCTCAATAAATCAATAGTTAAAAACATTATTCCAAATCAAGCTTTAATTGACTGCTCTGGAAGAAGCTATAAAAGGAATGTTTTTTCAATATTGATTAATTTTTTAGTTTTCGCTGGACACCTTTTCGTTAATTTTCTGAATATTAAATTTAGATTGACGTCAATTCGTTTTTTGTATTCTTCTCAGTCAACCGTTCCATTTGATATACTTATACATATCATCCGCCATATTGAATTCAGTACAAACTCTTCAAATGATATCCATATTAATCCTATCGAACCATAACCTCAAATATCGTCCGTTATTTTGGATTTATGAAATTCGACAACAAATTCGAAACTGCCGACCTTGGAAACCCACACAAACCAATTTTGAATCTATATATGATTGAACCGTACTGGTTATATAGAAAACAAATAAAAAAATTTAATAAAGAAGATACCGAGGTCAGATAGTTTTTTTATAGAGTTTCTCTCAAATATAGATTCAGAATTTCAAATTGTATACATATAACATTTTTAATACCCCAGCTTGGACAATATAGGGTGTTTCAATATGATGTTCACATTGGTGAATATTTAATTCACAAAGAAAGGGAATCATTACCACAATGGATCATGAAATAAACGAAAATGGTAGATAACGAGAGAAAAACAACTTCCTGGCTATATGCCACGCAGACCATTGGATTAAATTCTCCCGAAATCTATGCAATAATTCGTATAGACGAATGAAATTGCAAGTTTTTTCTTCCTAAATGGATAAGGACCGCGTAACTACCTTTAGACCGGTTTCGAGCTGTTGGCTTTCATCAGTGCAGGGCTGTCCCAGATAGTATTCTTGACCGCTATCTGGTGTGAACCTGACCCAACCTAAACACCTCTCAGCATTTATACCTCACGAGGCGTTCAACGTAAAACAATATTCCATTTCCCCATATCTTCATTTAGGATGGAAACACTTGCGATTTTATTGGTCTATATGAATTATCGCATAGATTTCGAGAGGATGGAATTCAATGTTCTGCGTGGCATATTACCAGGAAAGTAGTTGTTTTTCTCTCGTTATCTACCATTTTTGTTCATTTTATGAACTAAACTACTCAACACTAATTTCGTCGCACACCAAAATGTCTCCCCTGTTATAATGTGAATAACTTTTTTCAGTTTAGAACAATTTGAATTTGGTTCACACTGTTCGATAGCCCAGTCCTTCAGCAATAATCTCGTACTTCATTGAAACATTAGGGTATTCACATAAAATCTCTACATGGTGTTTTCCGACACTGTGCAAAATTTCGGAATATTCAAAAGGCTCTCAAATGGTGAAAACATTTTTTTTCTCAACTTCGACAACAGAGGCATGAAGATGATCTCATTACCTCGAGATATTTCGCGGATTAACTTCCTATCTCTCTTATTTACAGAGTGATCTCAAAAAATCAACTTTTTGGTTTTGCAGCCATAACTTTTTTCCACTTCAACCGATTTTGGAAATCTTAGGCTCATTTTGAAGAAAAAACTTCAGATGAAAAGATCTGAATATCATAATTGACTAAAGATGGCTATCAAAGATCTAGAGTTTACTTGAAAGTGACCCAAATCTGGAACGCCCTCCGAATCTTGATTGGGAGAAGAATTGAATGAAAATCAACGTGTTCTCGGAAAATCAATCCATTCTGGATGCGTCCATATTTTCCTCGCTCTCAGTAGTCAAGAATGTGCATGAAAAAACACAATTGAAACATGTTCTTGCAGAAACATCAGACCATTTCTCCTCTGTAATGCATGGCTCGTAACCAACGTTACAAGAATCACAGTAAGTGACTGACAAGTCAGGTTAGACGTCGTTTTCGAATCGTGATAACTTTGTTCTCGTTGATGACAATGCGAGATCGCATAGGCTGTGGCATAGGGTTGTTGGTTCACCATTTATGATGAGCCTTAGCTGGTCGGGTTTGTCAGTCACTGATTGTGATTCTTGTAACGTTGGTTACGGGCCATGCATTACAGAGGAGAAATGGTCTGATGTTTTTGCAGGAACATGTTTCAATTGTGTTTTCTCAGGCACCATTATTGACTACTGAGAGCGAGGAAAATATGAACGCATCCAGAATGAATTGTTTTTCCGAGAACAAGTTGATTTTTATTCAATTCTCCTCCCAACCGAGATTCGGAGGGCGTTCCAGATTTGGGTCACTTTCAAGAAAACTCTAGATCTCTGATAGCCATCTTGAGTCAATTCTGATATTCAGATCTCTTCATCTGGAGTTTTATCTTCAAAATGAGCCTAAGATTTCTAAAATCGGTTGACGTGGAAAAAAGTTATGGCTGCAAAACCAAAAAGTTGATTTTTTGTGATCACTCTGTAAATAAGAGAGATAGGAAGTTGATACGCGAAACATCTCGAGGTAATGAGATCATCTTCATGCCTCTGTTGACGAAGTTGAGAAAACAAATTTTGTCACCATTTGAAAGCCTTTTGAATATTCCGAAATTTTGCAAAGTGTCGGAAAACACCATGTAGAGATTTCATGTGAATGCCCTTATGTTTCAATGAAGTACAAGATTATAGCTGAAGGACTGGGCTATCGAACGATGTGAACCAAATTCAAATTGTTTCAAACTGAAAAAAGTTATTCACATTATAACAGGGGTGACATTTTGGTGTGCGACGAAATTAGTGTTGAGTAGTTTATATATTGTGGTAATGACGTTGAGTTTGAAGGGAGTTGTTGAAAATAGCCAAATTCAAAATGAACATTGACTTATAACAAATCCTAATCCTCGATCGCCAGTTTACAATCTTGACATTTAGAGTCCACTGCTATTAGGATATTAAGAAATATCAACTACGGCAATATTTAACGACTGTGATGTTGACATAGCTAAGAGATATTACGCAACCGGTTCCAACCTGCAAATTGAACAAGATGAAATTTCCCATCATATCTATAAATTACGAATCAGGTACAATCATCTCCCAATATCTGCGTGTTGAAATTATAGACCAGGCAACGGGGGATAGAATTCAATTTTCTTATAAAAGCGAAACGTTCAAAAAGTGTCATAACATGCGATGTCCCACAGGGATCTGTTCTCGGTCCTCTGTTGTTATTATTATTGTACACGGTGTTCCATTATATTTTGACCTCTACCTACAGCTTCAACTATACGAGGTGGAAAAACATCGAATATGAAAGTTGTAGGGTTCCATATGTAATATGTCCTGAAATAAATAAATGCGAATCGCAAAATAGATGATAAATGATGAATCACAAGTCATTTTGAATAATTATTGTTAACATCATGGTATTCATCCTCACGTAGATGTAGGTACAACAATTTTGAGAACTTATACATTGTTTTACTGGCAATAATTATTGTAGTTTTTCCTGATGATGGAATCAATAAAATTCCGAAAGCCTGAATAATCTTCGAAGAGTTCTCTTTCACTTGCTGCAAAACCTCAAGGTTTACTAGTCGATACCTAACTAGTCAGCAATAACGACTACCCTTCCACTATATATATATATATGTATGTTTGATAGGTCTTGAAAGTTTGAATATATAAGAGAGAAATAAATATTCTTCAAGTATCTAGTAGTCATAAAATTTCGAATTTCGAATTGAATGCCTGTAATAAGATTAAGTTTTTTTTGTAGATAAGATGTTATTTTCACTGAATCAATGTCGGGATATCTCCAAATAATTCGAGTTTTCCTTTCAATCCAAGTTTGAGATTGAATTTATGTAAATTTGAAATGAAGCTGGTCACAAGACTGACCCTTGCGGTACACCACATGAGATATTCTTTGAGGAGCTGCATACGTGTCTGGTTTTGTTTACATAGAAAGATTCTTCGGTATATTCTACAAAATGCTGTCAACAACCCTGTTCCGAATCTCTTTATTTGATCATCAAATAATTATTAATGGTGACAATGATAGAGGAATCAAAATGACAACCTGTATATCCACTGTACATTGAAAATGTTATCAAGACTTTTGTGTTGATTGATCATGATAACGTGTTTTTCGTGGTAAAAACAATTCTCGATTGAAAATACAATAAGTAGGTATATCTGCATGAATTTTAATACTAAGTAGATTTCCTTGATATCAGGATTGTCTATCGAAAATATAATTTTGACCTTTTTTGTTCGGGTTATTGTTATGGTTCGGATATGAATTTTCTGAACTATTTCTGAGTAACTCTTGTTTATCAATTCGAAACCTTAACACATTGTTAGCTCGAATATAGTGAAATATACAGGCTGATTCACGGTGGATGGCAGCACATAGACGTTTCTGGAGAACGTAACGTAGGATCATACTGAAAATTTGGTTTCTTGGATAATTAGTTGTGTTCTATCGACCCAAAATATTCTCAACACTGCGACGTTGCCGCTTATATTGAAAAGTAGTAACATCTTTGATTTTATGGAAGGGACACCCTATATATATTTCCATTTTCAGATTCTTCCTAAAGATCTGCTTCTATCGATCTATCACACTTGGGGTCTAGCGGGAATGATAACAAAGATATAGGGTATGAAAAATCCAGATTCTTCAACTTCAAGAATTTATGTCCCTATCTCAACTTTTCATGTACTATCAATTGATATTTGATTGAAATAGATACAGGGTGGTTGAAAATCTTAAATCTAAACCACCCTGTACCTATTTCAATTGAATATCAATTGATAGTGAATAAAAAGTTGAAAAATCTCGATTTTTCACACTCTATATCTCTATTAATTGTCACTGCTAGAGCCCAGGTGTTATAGGTGAATGAAATTTGCTCTTCAGGGAGAATCTAAAAATGGAATGATATATAGGGTGCCCCACTTACCAAATCACAGTTGTTGCTACTTTTCAATATAAGCGGCAACGTAGAAGCGCTGAGAATATTTTAGGCACATTTTAGGTCGATAGAGCACAACTTATTATCCAACGCAATTAATTTTCAGAATAATCCCAAGTTACGTTCTCCAGAAACGTCTCATGCACTCAGAGAAATATTCGGTAGTGAATACCAAACGTTTAGTTGAATAGGCGCCAGTCACAACATTCATCAAATAATACCACTACAAAGTTGTACTATACTAAACTATGAGTATTATACTATTTTGTAGTGGTAATATTTGATATAGTATAGTATTATATAATGTTGTAGTGGTATCATTTGATGAAAGTTGTGACTGGCGCCTATTTTACTAAACGTTTGTTAATAACTACCATCTTTTTTTTTTTCAGTGTGTGCTTTCCACCGTGAATCAGCCTGTATAAGTGTATAATATGGGTTCATCTATTTGGATGAGTTTGATAGAGATATAAGATATAACCAATAGCCCTTCTCACATATTATCGTTCCTGATTCAAAATGTGCAATGTATGTTATATGACTTCAGCATGCAAATATTTTCAAGTGTTTTTCTAGGTTGTACATCTTTTTCTACCTTCTTCACAAGGATATAAGAACTATTACATTGTTTGCATTTCATTTCTGTTGCCTAATACTCAAGGCAAGCAGTAAACGTGAGCATATCGATGTACAGTCGTCTTCAGTGAACATGTCGCGGTTGGACGGTATGAGCGCTCTTCTTGCAGCGATAATCAAGAGATGTGCAACATGTTCTCTGAAGACGACTGTACAACAAGATATTGGTACTACTGACATATCTATTGATAGTAAGATTCAGAGCGATACAATTGAAAAAATCTATATTATCGTCACCTCGTATAAGAGATATTCTAAATATCATGCTCCTTCCTTTTGTTAAAGACAATTAAATCAAACGAATTATAAGAATGATATTTTGCAGTGGCGGGGAAGGAGTTTGAAACTTTTTTCGCTTGTATAATAAATAACAATTTATTTTCGATAACAGTCGCAGATACGTGAAAACTATAGGAAAACAAATGTTTATAAACAAAACAAAGAACTCATGTCGTATTTAAGAATTTTCCAGTGAAGCACCACAAACAACTTTATGGATCAAAAAAGAGCCTTACACCTAGAATATATCTACATGTAGATTCTCACAATCTCAATTTGATCTGAATATCTCGAATACTAAAAAAGCTATAAAGAGAAAACAATTTTTGAACTAATGTTTACATCAGGAAAAACAAGTCCCATTTTGATCTGGACAGTGAGCCCCAGAAATCTTGATACTGAACTGTGAAACACCCTGTATAGCCATGATGTGTGAACTGAAACCTTGGGATTAGAAGAAGTAGGTACGTTAAATAAAACATTTCGAATGGTTCCAATGGAAATTATAGTCTTATGAAATCTATAATCATATTAAAATTATGATTTATTCAACTTGTCATGGTCCTCTGTATTCAATCATTGATTAATTATACATATTAGGAATAATTTCAACATGCGGATTATACATGCACTTAGACGGTACTCTCCCAAAATATGGTTTAACAAAAACGTTAAGATCATAACTTGTGGTACGGGAATGGTGAGTGCAAGGTACCCTGGCCGGATATTCACCGATTTAATCCATTTATTTATATTCAAAATATATACAAAACAAACACATGAATAAAATCCTCTGACATGAATGGTATAAAGAACGTACAGGACAATATTTTATTTTTTTTAATTTTATGCACTGGTTCCTACATAAAGGGATATCCTGTATTGTTCAGAGAACATCGTGAGAACCAAAGGAATTAAGGTAGGAATTGGTGTTCTTCTTAGACTTCTGGAGGTTATATGCCTCGGGGAACACCTCCCTTGGCAATGTGTTCCAGAGCCTCGCTGTTCGTTAGATGAACGAGTCTTTGGAAAGAGATGTTCTGCAGGTCTCCAAAGTGACCACGAAGGGGTGCGAAGCCTCAACTCGACGGGATAATCTCGCGGGGACTGCCAAGGGAGGAACAATTGTTGATATTTCAGAAGAGCATCGTCTATGAAAATATCTATAAAATAGAGCCAAATCGCCAACTTTTCTACGGTGTTCCAGAGAAGTGAGTGAGTTTGTGAGCGAGGCATCACCCACGAGACGAATCGCCCTTTTTTGGACAGAATCCAACGGTTCCAGGGTATGTTTGGGTGCTGCACTCCAAATATGGGAATAGTATTCCAGGACAGGTCGGATCTGTGCCTTATAGATCATAAGCAGCTGACTGGAAGTGAAATAGCTCCTGACCCGAAACAGAAAACCAAGTTTTTGGGATGCACTTTTAGCAATTGCTCACGTGATTTTCCCAAGAAAGGTTATTGCTGAAGCCTCGGGATATATTCTTGGTCCCTGGGTGATATTGATATTCTTCACTACCTTGGCGTATTAATAGGTATTATATAATTTTACGCGAAAACAGTGCGTCAAACGGAAAAAAATTACGGGGTTCAATTGTTCCAAAATGAATCAGGAATTCAAAACTGAAAAAAGCAAGGGAGCATAATATTTTTTCAGAAAAATCTCCAGTTTACATCCCATACGGACGCCACTAGCAGAAGTATTGAAAAGTCTCCTGCATCAGTGCCCAGTAGCTACATGTCAAATTTCATGTACTTATTCAAGCTATGATGAAAAAAATTTCTTCTTGAAATTTCAACCCCCTTCAGCTCAAAAGTCAAGAGGTCTCTAGGGCATATGTCCATATAAACTTTTTTTCTTATAATGAGCTAAGGAACCATATTCTTCATTTTTGACTATCAATCAAATTACACCCTGTATATACATAGTATTTGACCTGAAATCACCTGATATTTCCATTTTTATTTTTTCAGATCCACGGACGACAGATTGGTTTCTATCTGGAAAACTGGGACATTTAATAGTGATTCTAGTAACATATGTATACTTCTGTACAAAGGCTGGACCAAAATATATGAAACACAGGAAACCTTATGAACTCAAAAGGACCATACAAATATACAATCTCATTCAAGTATTTTCCAGCATGTATCTAGTTTACGAAGTAAGTGAGACAACTGTGAAACTATAAGTAACAATGGGTATACCAGGTGTCTCAGATCTTTCAGGCCAATAGATATCTGTGTATAGCATAGAAAAAATGTTAAAAAATTGTGAACTTCATGGGAGCCTAAGCTTTCCGAAATGGTGAGATCAATTCACCCTTGTGTCAAGCAATTTTCTAGAAACCACCATTTATTTTGGTTTCTGCAAATTGCACCCCCATGTTTGTTTCGGTTCATCTTATGAAACGTCTCATTCTCAATTCGACTATAAATTACGATCGTAATAGCGTTATAGTCAAAATGATAAAGAATAATTATAGTTATTCAGGGCGTTAGGATCTAGTAACGCTTGTGGTGCATACAAGATTTTTTCTGTGACGGGTAAAAAGTTTGAAATTTCATCTATGTTGACAGGTTATGAGAAACTGGTTATGAAATGTCAGTTTTTCCACGGGAAAAAAGTGAGTACTTTTTTCCGAAATATACGCCACACAGAGAACACAAACACGGCCAGGACTGTGACTTCTGAATTATTCGGGATAGGGTTTTGAAAATTGCTGAGCAGCTATTACACCAAATTGCTCATTAATTGACGATACAATTTTTGTTCTATCACTTCCGTTTTTACGGGAAATGGCCCAAACTTTTGATTTTTAAATGGGACGCCCTTCATTGTATTCCATAATCGGTTAGGGATTGTCATAATAAATTCATGTGCTCAACGAGTGTGACAGAGAATGAAGTTTTGATATCGCGAAATCACACCCATTGAGCATATAGAAACTTCGAACGCTAATATCCTTGTAATCGTTCGAAATATCCATATCAAACCCGGTATCGTTGAATTCGTCATGATAATTCCTAACCGATTATAGAATACAATATAGGGTGTCCATTTAAAAATCAAAAGTTGGGGTCGTTTCCGGTGAAACTGGAAGTGATGGAAGAAAAATTGTTTCATCAATTAATGAGCAATGCGGTATACTTTCTACCCACCAATTTTCAAAACCCTATCGAGAATAATTCGAAAGTTACAATCCTGGCAATTTTTTTTGTGCACTTCTCTGTATATATACACTCTTGATGGCTTTTGTTATACTATAGTTCCGAAGAATAAGCAGTTGAACTGAAAAGATAGTTAATACAATGATACTAAGGCATCTTCAAATCATTACTTCTAGAGAACGGCTTTTCTCGGAACCTGGTCATCAAAAAATGATGAACTAGGGTACTCTTTGAGAGAGAATTCAAAATAATGTGCACCTCGAACCCCCTTTTCATATGAGGTTCCAAGGGTAACATCTACTCCTCCTAGAGGGTTGATTCAAGAGGACTGAAAATGTGCATTTGAAGGGTCCCCCTTGGAAATGAAATTGACCTGTCCTTTCGATGTTTCACATTATTTACTGTAAGGAATATATTTAGTTTGGGACGTTTTCTATTTGACAGGGCATTTTACAGAAACTGCTCAACAAAAAATGATATGGAAGAAAATTGAACGCGCTTTGAAATAATATGCCATTTGACCCCCTTCCCTTTTGATATTCTAAGTGTAACATTTACTCCTCCTAGGTTGTTGAACCCAAGATTGATCAATCTTTACGATTTTTCATATTGATTAGCAATACCCTGTGAAGTGTAATAGTTACACTATCAAGATGAAAATTGAAATTAAACTTTAGCTTTATTTTCTTCAACATTTATGCTTCGGATTCACTCCATTACCTTTCCTATTACTCGAGGAACACCATTTTATATCGTAACATGATTTTATGGAAAATTGATACTTCCAAATTTGACAACGAAAAAACTAAACAGTTGAAAGAAAGGGTCAGTAGCGAGTATTCTCACCTCTGACAGAAATATAACTTCTGAGCAAAGACGGCCTTTACTCAAAATAAGGGATGACCATATATGTCATTTTGGTCCAGGTCTTCGATTTGAGCCATTCTCTGCCGTGCGCCTTCAAAAGTAATCAAGTTACATTCCACTTGTAGTTTTGACGAAAATGTATCAAACTTCTGGATACTTTTTGGTGGTGCGCTTATTTTCTAGGAAAATGTATTTCACAATTTCATATTTTTTTTTGTATTTAAGATAACCCAGAAATATCCTGGCCTAATAGCTCTGGAACACTTGGTATAATAATAAATACGATAGCTTGGATGGTAATAAATATAGTGATATCGTAAAACTAAATGACTCATTAGAAAAGGTCATTGCGAAATACTTAAAAGGAAAGTTAAAATATTGCTAATAATAGTAGTTATGTAGATACTAAGGGACACTATCTGTTAACTAAACTCCCGTTAATTAACTCTCCAAACTCATCAGCTAAGGCATATTCAATTATTGCCTTTAAGATAGTTGAGTGGATTGAGCAAATTTTAAATATTAAATGATTACGAAGGTCAAAAAGTATTAAAATAATCAATACAAAAGTATGGGATACTTCAGAACTACCTATTTGAATATTTCGGAAATATTTATTTTCAAATACTTCATGGAGATATTTGCAAATAATGAGTTATTTATATATTCCGAGAAGGTAGCTTGACTATAAATATAATTACCTATACTGGAAATAATTAGTTATGTACCCGATAATTTATGGGTAGTTATATTGGGTAAGTTATTATATGTATCTACATGTGGAAGATGAAATTATTGACATTATTTGTTATGTTTATATGTAAAACCAGACTATCTTTTATCGATAACTCTTCCGATAAAAACTAAAACGATATACTTGAGTTTCTTTCCATTTTGTTACTTTTTCATTCCACTTTGAGTATTTTGGCCTATTCCTAATTGAAAAAACGCCAGACGGGCAATCAGTCACTCCCATTTCTTCCAAGATGTGAATTTCAGCCTTGAAGTGATTCCTTCTGCCCTAGACGGTGTTTGTTCCATATATTTCGCAGTGGTCGAGGGTCATGTTCGCACCAGATGGCGGCCATGAATGCCATCTGGGGACACCCCTGCACATTCCGGGAGGCACATAGCCAGGAATGTATTTGTTTTTCTCTCGTTATCTACCATTCTCATTCATTTAATGAACTATTGTGGTAGTGACTTAGAGTATATCCCCTTTCTGATTCGTATCTACTTCAACCCCATGAGTACTACCAGAGCCACCCTCCCTATAGTAGGGTCTATTTGCGGATTAGGTACTGTTGCACATTTGAAAATGTTTCTCTAGTTATTGCCTGGCTTTCAGTACTTATTTTCCTCTCTGAATCGTCCAGATCAGTATAGGTTCCGTTTATAATTATTAACGGATTTAAAATGATTCCAACGGAAAAAATCAATGAGTGCCAAGTCCGGCAAGCATGCTAGACATTCTATCGGTCCTTTATCACTTATCCATCTGTTTGGGAAAATTTGGGAGTGTCAATCTCTCATCTGTAATACGAAAGGAGGTTCTGCCCTATATTGAAGAAATAATATACTAGTATGCAGAAAAAGACAAGATTCAATGTCGCCAAGGCATTGAACCTCCTTTTCTGCCATGTTGAACATACAATTTTCTCTCCGAATGTTGTAGAACCAATTTTGTGTATTTTTTTATTGCAAACTCCATCATTCTGTGTTCACCCAATGTCATCGTCAATGCTGATCATCTATTTGATTCAAATTACTTGGAACGTTGCATAGCAGCAAACTTTTTCAGTCAAGGCAGTGAAAATTCACTTTCTATGCCTATTGAGTGTCAGAGAAATGCCACTTTAATGTCATTTGAAGACAATAGTAGGTTGTTTCATTCGAATCAGAAGTGACACTTTTGACCTATAACTTTCGCAACATAACCATTAGTCCCTTCAAATTATAGAGGGGAAGTAATCTTCTACTCCCCAGAGTATGTTTTTTTTACGTCAAACAGTGTCCCTGTCTAAACAAAAACTGACGTGTTTCATTTTTTCTGTAAAAAAAAATTCTAAGAGTTACTGAGGGTAGATATAGTCTCAAGTGAATATCTAGAACTGCACAAAAAATCAAAGATTTGTTATTCTCATATAACAATTTTCGACTAGTCACTATATTTATGGAACCGTGTTCTTTTTCATTTTCAGGGATTAGAAGCAGGATGGGCAACAGACTACAAATTTGCTTGTCAACCAGTAGTACCAGGAGAAAAAGGAATGAGGGTAAGATCAATCATTTGAGGATGAACTAGAGTAAACACTGGCATTTTTTCGCAAACGTCATGGTGACATTTTCAAGGCACATCACTTCGTTTTGAAACGTTGTATGACTCACCCTATATTGAAAGTTTTTGTTGAGAAGGATGCGCTTCTGAAAATATAAATCGTTGTGTCCAAGCGTTTTTTTGAACACGCCCCTTTTGATTCATCATCGAACTTATTCCATTTAGTCGATAAACACTGTATAAATCACTGAACTCAAGTTCGGGATTCAAACACAACAAAATCCACAAGTACAAGTCGTTAATAAAGTGGAGTATACTACTCGGAGCTCCTTTTTTGTATTGATTCGTGGTATAATCTACTATTATGAAACTTGTTAGTATCCAAACTAATTTTTTAATGTTTTCAGATGGCCAAAGGAGTATGGTTATATTTCTTCTTCAAACTAACAGAATTATTAGACACGGTAATGCCAGTTCCTTTTGATTACCATGCTATCAATAACTAATCTATTTTCCAGGTATTTTTCGTTCTTAGGAAAAAGTACAACCAAGTCACCTACCTACACTTATATCATCACACTCTTATGCCTGTCTGTGCTTGGATTGGTGTGACATTTTTGCCAGGTAGGAATTAGTGTAATCTATCATAATATGGACACTCTTAGGGCCGACCAAAAAGGGGTCAGAGAGAGGAGGTAGGTATTAGATTTTTTCAGCTTTTCGAGAAAGTTCCTTTTTCAAAGAATTCCGAAGCTTTGCCGTATAAACGATCGAGTTTTGATAGAGTGTTGTTCGACATTTTTCAAGGTTGACGATGAATTGATCTACTGACTGGGCTTATCTGACTGGTATTGCAGAGATTCCCGTGTATCTAGAGAAAAGTGTGAGATCGTTGACATTTTAACGGTGCATCAATGATGTCAAAGAATTGGTGATTGCGGTATGACCCACCAGACGAATGGCTTTTCTCTGGATGGAATCTATAAGAGCATCAGCATATGTTTGGGTGCTGAATCCCATACATTAATCTAGAACAGACCGAATATGTGTTTTGTAGATCATCAGAAGCTGTTGATTTGTGAAGTATAGGCACAAATGGCACGAAAATAAAATCCGAGTTTTTGTGAAGCAGTCGTCGCAATGGATCAGACATGAAAGAGTATTGCTGATGGAAATCACTTGAGAAATCTGAACTTAAATAGGCATTTTCCACTAATGGCAATATCGACAGAATTTATTTCGTAAATTTCGTCGCTGACCTGTTATTGTTTGACGAATATTTCAAAGTGACCTAGGAAGACAGGAAGTTGACTTGCCTACTATATTTCGTACATAATCGGTAAACTCATGAAGAACCGGTCATTATTTCCGTTAATGCGAAATTTCCCAGAGAATTCGTCATACAAAATGACGGGTTTCCCAACTGGTTACCTAGATATCTATTCCATAATGCCTTAAATTTCCTCGTATCTACGTTCCAGGTCAGTGAAAACGTAACTAAATAGTGGTAATTCAAAGACAATCAAAGACAATTTCAAGAACGATGAGCTTTTTTTTGTATATCATGAAGAATAGCTGAAAGAATAACTGATAACTGGACTTATGGTTACTGATGAGGATTTGATATCCGAAATGAGTTCATTCGAGTGGAGTAATATTATAACCTGTTTGTGAAATATATAATTTCCATATCACTGATACGAATGATTTTTTTTAAAGTTCCAAGCTCATCAAGATCAGAGTTTATTTATACAAGTAAACTTCTCATATACATTTCAATTTTCATTTCAATAATGATACGGCACGATAATACACTACACTGTTTTACCACTAACCAAACCGATTTTTTAACGCCTCGACACGTGTTTCGCTAACTATGTTAGCATCTTCAATAACAAAAAATGGAGCTAAGTTTATGCGTGATGGCATAACTAATTTGATAAATCACCATAATATGGGCACATGAATCCTCATGTCGTAATTTCATCAGTTGGTACCTACCTAGTACTAGCCTAGTACCTACCTATCGGTTCGGATTATCAACAAACGTCACGTCTCGTCACACAAATGCAAAACCGGACCTACTCGATATCTCACTTCAAGCGACACCCATAAAACAAAGTCAGGAATAATAATATCTATCTTGAATTTCTATAAAAAAATATCGTGTTTTAAAACATAAAATTTTCCCAAGTCTGGACCTGGATATATTTTTTCATAATATGTCATCTTGAATAGTTTCAGTAGAGGTACGTTGCTGCCAAATTTCAGCAGATTACGAAGAATCATTTTTGTAATATCGACCATCAAAGTTATATAGCAATTTCACATAATACCCTGTATCTTCGTTATGGAGGGTCAAAAAATGTTTTCATATATATATATATACATCAACTCGTCTTGATTTCCCCTATCAACCATTCGGCTATGTGAGTCTGCTCATGAAACACCCTGTATATATATCCATTTCTCAAGTTCATAATTATATCTGAGAAAATTCCTTTTCAATAAGTTTATTACTATACAAAAATAATTGATCGAAATAGCCATGAAATCTATTCAAAATGGGAAAATTGTGTGGGCACCCACCTAGATATGTCAGTGTCAGCCATGTTCTTCGAAGTCACGTGCTATCGCAGACACAAAATATAGATCTCTGCATCGATTCGGCAGTCATCAAACGACTAGTGGATGAACTAATCGAGGAGACATGTTATGGTCATTGAAAAGATAAAGATCGTGTAACCGGTGAAAATAGTGTCATAATCAAGAATGGCAAAAACATTTGAAAGGATTATAGACTACTATAAACAGTGATTTCTTCTTTTTAGGTGGACATGGAACTTTACTTGGTCTTATCAACTCCTTCATTCACGTGATCATGTACGCATATTATTTCCTTTCTTCGCTGGGGCCACAATACCAGAAGTACCTTTGGTGGAAAAGGCATTTGACAAAAATGCAGATGGTAAGATAACAGTCAGTTGCTAGGTACTACTTTGATTTTTCATTCTAACATGTCACAAGGAAAGAACTAAATCCCAAGAGATATTTTCAAGTAGGTACTAAGACCGGATTTTAATGGCCACGTTTATACCGTATGAATAGTTGGTATGCTTACCAAGGAGATCTAACTAAATTCAGACGAAATAAGCTGAAATTGAATGAAATATTATGATGAGAACTCATGAAATAACTGCCACATGCACTCAAGTCAATTCAAGGCAATACAGAAGTAGACCAAAATGTTTACACCGTCTTGTTCATTATACTGTTTTATTCTGGCACGCAACAAATTTTGGTACCAAACCAAGCTGGTAACTTTACAAAGTATACGGTTCATACCAAACTAACCAAGAGTATTTAGTCAAAATATAGTCATTAGTCAGCTAACCAAGACACGGTATAAACGTGGCCAATGTAGATTAAGCGTACTTTTCGAAAATGAAGACTCAGCAAACGTTTCACACGTGATATAAATCCTCTAGGCTCGTAAAGTATTTAGATACACCCTGTATAAAAGTTTGACAACTCAATGTTGGGTGTATTGTACGAGTATTTCAACTTGAAGAAGCTACTGTATTAGCGAAACATGTGTTATAATTTTGTCGAAATCTTATCATTTCTGAAGTTTTAAGTTTTTTACATTGATCGAGATATCGCTGTTTTGAATGTTCCATTTCCATTTTTCAGGTCCAGTTTTGCATAATATTTGTGCACAACTTTCAAGTACTCTTCAGAGAATGCGGCTATCCTAAACCTATAAACTATCTATTATGCGTTCAAGCCGCCTATTTCCTGTATCTTTTCGGACGTTTCTATGTCAAGCAGTATTTGAGAGAAAAACAGAAGGTTATCGAAAAAGAATCCGATTGCAAAGAAGAAGCACACAAATTATCAAACGGTACTTCGGCAGCCAAAATGAATGGAGCAGTGCAGACTGACAGTGTACAAAACAAAATCAAGGCGAATTAACTTGCTCAATGGTTAGAAGAATGCATGGACCTTACTTGCTTCTGAGGAGTTTAGATAGGTTTGCGCATGGAAAATAACTGCTCAACAACTGGAAGAGTTTTTAGGATTATGTGTGTTATTGAAATAAATGTGTTTGTATATTTTTTAGGAGTAAGTGCAGTAGTATATTTTATTTCTCTTATATAGGATGTTGTGATATTGATTGTAAAATAAAGTTCAGCGTTGTTATTAGGATTTCTAAGCTGACTGTTATAACACAGAAGGCAACACTTTTTTTTTATTATGTACACAAATAGGGCTGTTACCATGCTATATTTATGTTAGCAGGAATATTCGAATTTCAGTATCACGAATTTTAAACATACCTATATACCTACTTCATCATACTGGTGCCACATTTGAAAATAAGTCAGATACAATCTTGAGATAGCTATAAACATGTTCGACGACAATGTTTCCTTCTATGTTACCAAAATGACGCATCAGAAATATGTGATGAGTAAGAAAAAGCAAAAATATGAAATAATCCGAATGTCTCCAACATTATTTCTTCATATTTTCCATAATTTTTCACCCCTGATTGTCTGATTATTGATTAAGGATGGATTATTTTGGTGAATAACTTTTTTATATGAAACGGCCAATATGAAATAAATTGTTAAGAAAATAGGTATTTATTATTTTCACTCCACTATAATACCCATTTAAGTTCTTGAAGTTAGTTAGTCACTTTGGAAAGCATTTTTTCATCAGATAATTTTCTCTTCCTAACGAAAAAGAAATCATCTAATGTCAGTTTTTTGAGTGAAATTACTGAAGGAAAATGTTTCTGATTAGGTGAGGATATTGATAAAAAAAAAGTTCGTATGTTTTTTTGGCAAGAAGAATCAACAAAAATATACCAGGTGACAACGAGATTATTGGACAGGCCGTCATTCAGTTTTTTATGTTGGAATTTTGAAATTTATAACGTATCATCCATAAAGTCGGCATCATATGGGAAAAACTTTCAATAATAATTTATTTTGGAATACGTTGTGTTTGTTAAGTTTTGCTTCGAAATATGGGAAAAATGAACTACTCGGTTGGGGGTCACGTGAATTTTGCTACTTGTCAAGAGTTTTTTCAAATCGACCGTTGAGAATAGGCTTGTTCGTTTGAATTTCAAAAAAGTTTACAGAGAAAAAGTGTTTTCAATTCCGATTTTACATAAATGTGTCTCGGATTCGAACGTTGAATAACAACTATCAGTTTTTGATATTTTTTCCTTTTTCTCCGGAATGTCTTTTTTATTCTAGTATAGCTACATCGTGCTACTAACCTTCAATCACTAATAATCGAGAAAATATGATTTTCTCCAGAAAATACTAATTCCTGCTTAAAATATAATGATGCCAGGGTCACCTATCAAAATATCATCAAACTACTTTACGTATCTCGCCGAGGACAGCTTTGTCGAAGTTAAAATTATTAGAATATTGGATCTTTCTTTCAATTTATTCAGACCAGGGAAGAGTCCCTCTTATCCTGATATCTATTATGGAACGAAATAGAAGTTTGATGCGAACAGCCCTCCTGCCCCAAACAAGTTTCAGAAATACATTCTGAGAATTGAAAGAGATTGAACGGAATAAATGAATATCAAAAACTTGAGAGTAGTGAATTTGGTCATAATGTCGATATTTTTGGTCTTATGAAGTTTGATTGATCACCTGGGTCATAATCAACTGCATTTCGAAGAAGCTGATTCTCATGAACCTCAGTTTTTTCGAAAGTTTTGATGTTTCATTCTTTAATGACTGACACGATTGAAGGGAGTTTCAGATCCCTGGCGATATGGTTATTCCGAACATACCAAGGAGATCCTGTCACCATTCTCGCGATTTTGTTTTGTAATGTTTGTAATCTGGTGATATGAGATTTAGCTGTGTGGCCCCAGACTACTGAGGCATACAGTAAAATTGGCCTGATAACCATGATATAAATATTCAATTTTTGTCTCAAACCCAGAAAATATTAATTCCCGCTTCCAATTTCTGCCTGGCATTCAGAAGCGAAATTTATTCAAATGGATTTTTCCAGTACTAAAATGATGCCAAGGTCACCTATCAAAATATCATCAAGTTACTTTACGTATCTCACCAAAGTTAAGGACAGTTTTGTGGAAGTTACAATTATTAGAAGGAATCAAAAAATTTCAAGAGCCAACAGTTGCAATAGGACGTTGAAATTCGAGACTCTTGTGTAAAATTTGAACAGAAACAAGTTTCCCTAGTAAACTTTTTGAAATTCGAACAAATAACACCGCTTCAAGTGATAAATTTGAAAATATTCAACTTTTGACATGTAGCGAAAGTCACGGGACTCTGGCCGAGTAGGCTATTTTTCATCATGTTTTGAGCAAAACTCAATGCCACAGTCGAATTTCAAAATGAATTATTATCAAAAGTTTTTTCCAAAATCGAGAAACATTTACTATAAATCAGTATTACTAGGAAGTGTGAGAAATAAATAAGTTCGAGTAAATAACGAAAAAGTTGATAAATTACATGTACTATTGAGTGCGCGTTATTTCAGCTCTTAGAAGGTGTTAAATTTTTCAAACTTCGAAAAAAATCTACTTGACCCCATCCATTGACTACTTTTTACAGAAATCAAATATCAAAATTATCAATATGGCGACACAGTGATGCCATCAATCTTTTTTTTTTGCAAGCAACCCAATATAATAGCAGATAAACGAAGCACTTTGATGAAACATGCGAAAATATAGATTCATCGCCAATGAAGCTTGCTTTTAGTAGTGATGATTCTTTCAAATTACATTATTTCTTTTTAATTATCTCGGAGACAGGTTAATATACCGGGTGTAATAGCATGGTATACCCCCTTTTTCTCCTTCAGTTTTGGAGATAGGTGATTTGAATTTGGAATGATCCATCAACTAGAAAAACGTCACTTTTTGACATAAACAGGTTTCATTTTCCACTTCCGGTTTCACTGGGAGTGGTAATAACTTCTGATTTTCATATGGAACACCCTGTATATCATTGCATTTTCGCATTCTGTATCGTTCTCTGATCGGAGTCTGATGTACTCGTATTGTTAGGTGTGATTCTAAAAAAATCTGAATCCTGTTAAAAATGTGAAATTTCTAGATTTATCACCAATTCCTGTTACACCCGGTATATCAATAGATGCTCGACACACTATACGCTTCTTGTTTTCATTTTCAATTAAAAAATCATTAACGGCTGTCTTTTTCATTAACCCAACCTGAATAAATAACTTCAAAGTCAATAAATAACTTCTGTATATGAGCAGAACACACGGCTGTTTTTTTTTTCTTTGCGCTGTCTCCTCAATTTTTTCGAATATGGAAATTTGTTCAAGAAACTTTCTTCTCTATTTCAAATTTGCTTCGATGTTATGATGTATTTACATCTTTACTTTCACCAACTCCGTATCATTCACCGTTTCTGAGATGTTTGGAATTGAAGGAAAATATACTCGAATGTAAATGGGTGCATTTGGTGATTTGATTCCACATTATGTACTAACAAAGTCATCAGTTACAAAGACAGTAACTATTGGGATCATGTAACTTTATCAATACAAAACTACAATGATTTCGAATATTTTAAAATTGTTGTTTCATTTGTCAGTAAATACTGTCTGTAGGTTTATCGAGGAAATGGTATACTCATATTACTTGATTTTTTGGGTTTTTCTCTCCTCGTTTCTATAAAATAAAAATATGCGTATTATTTCAATATATTTGTAGAGGGACAAATCAGATGATTTGCCCCAAAATGTCACTGCGTTTAACAAATTTTTCCATCAGGGAGCCTAAAAGAAAAATCTAGTAGCTTGTCATTGACAATTTGTTTGAAAAAATGTTTGAAGGAAAGAAATATAGATATATTGAAAAAATATCGAATTTTTACTTATCTTTGAACGTTTCGGGACCGAATCTGCTCCCGGTCTCAACATTAAAATGCAAAATATTTCTCTTCATTCTGGGAAAAATCATCTGATTTGTCCCACTACAAATATATTGAAATAATACGCATATTTTTATTTTATAGAAACGAGGACAGAAAATCCCAAAAAATCGAGAAAAATGATTGTCAGTAAATATTGAAAATCTATGCTGTCGATTGAACATTCCAGACACCGAGTGTGCTAGCTCAAAATTTTGAATCTGATGTCACGTGACCGAAAAAAGAAACCTGCACCAATTACTCCAATTCACAGCCCTAAACTTACAATTTTGTACTATTCTCATCTTCTGAGATATTCGCTATCTTAATCGCCGTCCATAGGACGCACACCCAGACGGATATTCCTAGAATGTTCTCCAAATATGCTAAAGAGGAGGAATATATTTCGAATATTCACCAAATATTCCTTGAATATATACATGCCAACATAGGTATATCAACTATTATTATGTTCTGATTCTGAACAACGCTCTCTCATGAAACCGTTTGTACAACATTATTCAATCAATTTACTGGTCTGGTGAAGGAGGCGTTGCTGTGACAGTCTGGAAGTCACGTGTTCGAGTCCATCTTGGATCACCTCTTTGTATTTTAGAACATGATAATTGTAATATTCAAGGAACATTCGAGGAATATTCCTAGAATGTATTCTAGACATCCATCGCATATTCTGTTGGACATGTTCTATAAATATCTTGAGGAATTTCCATTTCAGAAAATATCCACAGATATTCTAAAATATTCCAGAGAATTCCTAGGATAATCCGATATTCTGAAAGGAATGAGATATTCATGGAATATCTGGTGCATTCTGGCCATATGAGAAAATCTTGTTTTCCTACGGCTATAACACAAAATTTCTCTATTTTTACTGTGTTCCATAAATCAATGAGGTACTTTGTATGACATATGACAATTTCATTTCCGTATCTGATATCACAATGACTTCATTGTGTGTATATTTCACAAAATCTCATCCGTCATGAAATGTCAAATTTCAAGCAAGACAGCTCTGTCTAATAGATGAAAGCATTACTCGAGAGGAATTCAGATGGCAACAAGCAAAGGAAATAAACAATTCCGTTATTATCTGTTACACTCGTAGAAAAAGTATAGTGTATAACTCGCACAGAATGCTGATTTCCCACTTGTGGCAGATAACTATTATTCCGTGCTTCTTAAACAATAAACCATTTTTAAATCTATCGATTTCTGATTCCTGAACCTCAAATTCATGAGATAGAAAAAAAAATTCCATGATGCAAAGATTATTGTCACACTATAAGAAGGTACCTCTAAGGTGCCAAACGGTGCCAAGCTCCATCTTGACTTAATTCAATGTAGGGTAATGGAATCTTGCTTTGTATATGATTTCTGAGGAAAATATATAAAAGGTCATGGATATTTATTCATCGTAATTGAATTGTCATAGAAATGCAAGTGAATATGAGTTGCAAACCTCATACATAATGAATATTTGGACTATAAGTTATGCAAGGCATAGGCGTAAGCTAACTTATTTTTTCCAGGGTTGAGTATAGAAAAATGAGAAATACTTGTGTGTACACTCTACATATGAGGAGCAACTGAGCAAAATGCATTACTTCACATTGGTAAGAAAATGAAGATAATCAATCAATCATCTCGATCAGAAAAATTGAGAACCCCTTCACTACTCCTATGAATGCTGTGAAAAAAAAAAATTCAAGGGGTGAGGGGGGTTTCAACTGTGACATAATTTCTTTTGGGTTTTTTTGATCACCAAAAGAAGGGTTTCTCTAAAATGCACATTAGTCAAATTTCATCCAATTCGTTCCACTCATTTTTGAACAGCGTACAAAAATGTGTTTTCCTTTAAAAACTTTGAACTCATCTCACGGACAAACGATACATTTTTTTAATGAAAATGAGTTGGGTCCAATAAACTTATTTTGAACTTTTTACACATGGTAGCTCTGCGTCCCAGCAGTTTCAGGACTTTTGTATAGTCAATGAATCTATTTTAAATTATGTTGAACGAATCTACAGCAAACTAGCCTTTTTAAATCAATAACAATGCTATCATTTTCTAATATTTTATTGAGTGCGATGTGTCCACTCAATTTAATTTTTTTCTTCGTTTTCTGTTGAAATAAAAATACCTAATTAATATTTTCTGCGCTGTATTAATACCTAAACTGATTCAATGATTCTTCAACCATTATTGAACCCCATATTTGAAAATTAACAGAAAAAATATTTAGCCGCCTATGCCTATGAAGCTAATCTACACATTCGTTTTTCCAATCAATCTAATCAGCGTGAAGGAATTCGACCATATTCAAAATGAAGTTCACGGTCCAATAATTCATTTCAAAAAGACTTTATCAAAATATTTCATTGTTAGTTATTTCTGTTAAAATGGCGTATATTCTAAAACAGGCATATCTCGGATACAATTGGATATTTGGCGACTTAGCAGGTGAGCAAAACTATTGAATCTCTTTTGTCACAAAAATCATAGGTACACTGCGGCCCAAAAAAATCGTAATGACGTAATGGCTCCTGTCTGGTCTATTATATCTATCTTTCTTACACAGATCGACTGCGACGGTAGGTAGTTTCCTATACCTAAATCCTCTCATTTTCTTTCTTCGTAGTATGGTGTGAAAAAGAAGGTAGATTGAGTAGTGAAAGTTCATTCCATAATTTGGTTCATTTATTTCAAAATATGGAAGTATGGGAGCTTGTGACATAAGATTTCATAGACATCTGAGGAAATTCTATATTGTCAGAGTTTTGGATTCTGGATATTCATTTCTCTGGAAATGTCGGTAGTTGAAACATTATTTATCATTATTGAAACTATTTTGTCAAATTAAATGAAGAAATTTGATAATATGATTCGTAGAGTGCATTCTTGAAAGATTCGATGCACGTGACCGGCTATTTTATTTCCAACAAAATCTGCACGGTGTTACATATAACATTGTGACAAAATTCAATAATACATTTTCGCAAGCAGATAAGAAGAAGTTCCGTAGTTTTTCGAGACACAGGGTGTGGCAAGTTTGAAAAATATTGTTTTTATCAATTCCTAGACCTGATGTCCATCAAACTTGATAGGTTTGCTTGCAAAATTAACATATACTTCTGATGAAGTTAAATAGGAATAATTTATTCAGTTCAGTGGCTGATATTGATATAAAAAAAATACCTTGACACTGTGTCTTGAAGAGTAAAATACTTGTTTTAAACTGTGCAATTCTCCAGAATTTTTCTTGCAACTTGTTTCCTGGGTGAAGATAACAATTTTCTTTCAGAGTGAGTTGAGCAAATAATTCAAGGGTCAAAAGAGTTGAATCTACCATTGGAAAAAGACATTCAACTTAAAAAATAGTGGTGGGACATATTCTTCGATTCTGATACTCATCCGGTGTTTATGACAATCAAGACAATCGAAGGAATGTTTTCAAGAGATGAATAATATAGAATTCATAGTTCAAAGTTGAAATTTGACATGTTTAAACATAACAGCTGAAAGTCGATATGATTTTCATGAAAATATTCATGGTTGTATATATTGAAGTGGACTCTTTTTTGTTCTTTTTACTTGAAATTAAATTTTAGAAATCTGTTATTGTTCTGTTGTTATGATTTCATTTCATTTCCAGATTCAAGACCGACTGAATTGGATCTACTTCTTATGTCCACACCTCTAAAACCGATTTTGATTAGCTTAGCATATTTGTATTTCTGCCAGAATCTAGGACCAAGGTGGATGGCTTCTAGGAAACCATTTTCACTGAAGAAAACCATCATTGCTTTCAATATATCCCAAATAATAATTAATATACACCTATTCTATGTGGTAAGCATCTATTATTCATACAAGAAGATTTCGAAATTGAAGTGAATAATTATAAAGCTTGGTAATAGAAGAAATAAAAATACGGAGTGAAACGCGTTCTTGTAAAGAAAATATGTTTTTGAAGATATTGACAGTTATACACTATAATTTTTCTACGGCTGTAACAGATAACAACGGCATTTTCGATGTCTTCGGCTTGTAGCCATCTGATTTCCTGTCAAGTAATGCTCATCTATTAGACAGAGCTGCTGTCATTGCTCGCAATTTGACATTCTATTTATTCGAAATAATAACACAATGGAGTCATTGTGATATCAAATACGGAAATGAAATTGATGACATACAAAGTACCTCATTGATGTATCGAACACAGTAAAACAAGAGCAATTTTGTGTTACAGCCGTAGAAGAAAACCTGTATACACGATGAAAATTTCAGAATTTTAATGTTCTATTCATTATTTTTTTAGTGCTTCAGTGAACTACCTGAATCAGATTGGAGCTGCATTCCTGTAGACTACTCCTGGAACCCTAGAAGTCTCAAAGAACTTCGATATCATCATTACTACTTCCTTGTCAAAATGTCTGACTTCCTGGATACGGTAAATACAAACCATAGTCTTAGACAGTTCTCTCTTGACCTTGGCATTCCAAAATCAAGAATTTGGAGGCATTTGAGAAATGAGAAAGCTATACCATTTAAACCAAAATGTGAAGAAAATTTGACCACATGTATTTGAGGAAGTTCTCAACATGTTGAGAGTTGTCAGTTTTCCGCTGAAAAAATTCCTGATATTACTAACTGATTTTAGGCATTTTCAATTCATCATAGTTGGCCGTGTCGTAGTTCAATCAGAGTGTTGGATACTCAGAAATGTAGAACTCATTGAGAAGCACATGTTGAAACACAAAATTTTTGAAATCTGTCAGCGATTAAGAAAATACCAAGGTGGTGCTGCTCAAAGTGGGACACACTGTATATATCAACTCATCTTGACTTCCTCTATACACCATTAGGATATGGATGGTTAGTCATGACTCACCCTGTAGATAGCCAAACTAAAAAGAAGTAGAAAATGAAATAATTAACAACGTGTGTTGATACATACATAACAGAGAAAATAATATACTGATTATGGAGGTGCTAATATCGTGAACAGAGCTCTGAGGAGAAAACGGTTTACGACAGTGGATTAGTTAGAGGTAGTACTTCGAAATAATTACATAAAATGTTTCACTGAAATAGGCCAATTATAAACTTTTCGTCTAATCACTGAAAAATCGACCCTTGAAGTTTGTTCACATATTTCATGACACCCTGTATAACCGTGTTAATAGAAGAGAACCTGAGCAGAAGAGTTTATTCTACTATTTTCCAGATATTCTTCGTTCTAAGGAAGAAAAATCAACAAGTGACTTTTCTGCACCTGTACCACCATTTTGGTATGTTCCTGATAACTTGGATAGATGTCAAATACTTCGGAGGAGGCCATGGGATTTGGCTGGGCATACTCAACTGTCCGGTACATGCTATTATGTACTTGTACTATACTCTGGCGATTTTTGATGAAAAATGGAAAACGAATGCAACTTTCAAGAAGTTCCTCACTCAACTGCAAATGGTATGTTTGTTTCCACTTCTCATTTCGAATAGATCTTGAAGCTACAGGGTGTTTCATTGCTAGCAAGCTAGCTAATTGAAGATATTTCAACCAAAGACGACCGAATGCGCCAAACTGGCCGGTTGTGAATTACATGGAAGTACATTGTTTTTTGGTGTATTTTAGATTTTTTGGTAGTGATTTGAGCAAAGAAAACTAATGCCCCAATTTGAGGATACATTAGTTTGCATTTCGTTTTCATTCAGTAGTGAAATGATTCTTGCAAAATAGCTGGAGTGAATACGATGTTGATGTAGTTCACAGAGTAGGTGTTTATTACTGTTTATCAAATGGTGCGTCAGTTTTTGCAGTTGCAATAATGATTCTAAACCCATGGGAAAAAATCAATATCATAGCCAACTAATATGGAGTTGAAAGGTTCAACACAATGTAGGTTCTTCGTTAAAACAGAGATGTATAGAAATTTAACTGGTGCACTTGCTCCCTATTTAAGGTCGTTTGCAAGTTTCTCGATGGCGCCTACTGTGATAAAACTTTGATAAACATACTTGACGTGGGTAAATCTCGCTAAGTTCATCCTGGTTACAATCCATATTTACTGGAAACATAGTACCGACCGATAAATATTTGGATACGTATATGATTTGGATCAGAGCAGTGAACTGATTCCTGATCAAAGGATCGAAACGTCAATATGTCAAAAATATTCTTGAGCTGAAAAAATGGTTATTTCTGAGATTAGGGTCAAGTGTTCGATAGATACGTATTCCGTAGTTTCTAAATTTTGTGTATAATACCTAATCCACCATAGAAAAAAGAAAATCTCTGTTCTACAACAGTATTATTTCAGTGATTTGAAATATTAGTGTGAACTGGTGTGGATAAATTCTGAGGTGAGTACCAGTTACCATATCTGCCTATTATGATTTTCGATATTGGTCTATTTCAATAGTTGATACATTCTTTGTTCTGGTTCTTCAAATAGGAAATTCATCAGATTTCATGCTTTAAATGTTGAGCACAGTATCTATTCGACCACAAAACAATGATGGAAATAGATTCATCCCTCACAGAACCAAGGTTTTGAACGATTTTCCGATTATGGCGCCTCTATCGCAAATACCAGAACCCCACGTCCAAAACTCGCTTGCAATATTGTTCCATATCGAGAGTTAGTCTGACGAAACAATTGAAGAGTGAGCCCACCAGTTTAATTTCTATACATCTCTGTTAAAACTAAACAGGAAACAGAAAATTGAAACTTCCTCCTGTCTTGTATTTCAATTTTGTATATACCTATGGGAGTTCCTCACCAACTTCAAAAAATACTATGATAAATAGCATGAAAAAAATTGGTTCATAGTTCAATGGTGTTGAAAAATAAAGAAAAACTAAAATTGTAACCAGTAGTAGTGTGCACAAAAATTGATCTGTAAGAACTCTGACACCAAATTATTGTTACTCACATGCTATTGTTTCATTATCCATAGCACACTTTCAAGAAAATATTCCGTTACGAGAGGAATACAAAAAGTATTTTTTTGTAAAATTTCAATTATACAGGGTGTCTGTGAAACGTTGGGACATGACTCGGCTGTGGACTCCTGGGATAAAAACAAGTTGATTTAGGCCAACATACCTATATCCAAAATGATCTCGTTGACTTGGTACAAGGCGTTGAAGTTTTTTGGAAAAAAATAATTTTTCTCATAAAAAGAGTAGACTGAGGTCGATTTTCATAATTTTTGGCATGGCATGTTCTGTGACTGTAAGTCACGTATTGAGATGTTTTTGATCATCATCAGTGACCTGCAAGTGTTTCAAACAACCATGTTGCCATACAAATTTGGTGATAACTCTTCAGAGGTCGGACTGGAAACTTCCAGTTTTTTTCCAGAAAGATATTCCCTTGAGGATATTCAGGGTAGTTTTTCGTTTCAGGTACAATTCCTTGCCCTGATAATAATTTATGGAAGGCCGTTGTTCATGGCAGAATGTCGATATCCCAAAATCGTTTGTTACTTTTTCGTTCCACAGAACTTTTTCATGTTAGTGTTATTCTTGGACTTCTACAGAAAATGCTATTTGCGAAGAAATAAATCAAATGGCTCATTGAAATCAAATGGTTTATCTGAATCAGGTGAGTCCACTTCAGAACAAAATGAAAGTGCTCGAAAAAACAAAATGACTCAATTTTTTCGCCGTTTTCAAATTGTCATAACTATTTGAACAATCAACCGATTTCCGATTTGTGAATGCATCATTCAAAAGCTGCTTTTCTTCTTGAATATATCCATATTGCTCAATACTCGTCAAAGTCTTCTTGGTCATACATACCAAGTGCTCAAAAAAGTTATACAAAAACAACTAGCACAATCGAGATTTTTTCGGTTCATAATTTTGTTTTCATATTCCTACCTCTAAATTATATTTGGTGGTGTTATGAAGGATCAATGGAATCGGTCATATATTTCGAATACTATTTACATAATTCGATTTGAGTGGTATTTCTACTTGAATTATTATTCAAAACTAAATTCTCGCCTCGTACTAGCTGTTCCACCTACTGTTCAATGAATAAATCATACAAAAATCACCTGCAATTCGAAGAATAGTTTAGCTACTCTGGGATAGGTGGCAGCACTTATGATATGTAATAGAAATTAACATAGATTAATCATCAAACTGTCTATCGTTGACTGCCTGATTAGTGGAGGTGAAACAACAATATGACCTCTCAATTTGAATGTTCTTACTATATATACAAACAATCTTTTCAGTATCTTCCTCTGTATTTATGAAATTTAATTTTTATTCATTTTTTCAGGATAAAATCATGGAATATCTGAAGAAAAAGAGTATTTAAACTTCGTTTTAGAAGATTCCTTCAAATTCTCGAGTATAGGTACCTATCTATATATCATATTTTGTTAGGTTAGAGAAACATATATATTTTCTGTTGATATTTATTTTTTGACGTATATCTCAAACTGAATACAGATTCTACAAGAATATCTCATAGTATTTTTGATATCCCAGATAACCACACTATTTTTGAAAATTTCTTGAAATATATCGTAAAATGCCAATGTATATTTTAAAATCCGAAATTATTCAACTATTTTGATAACAAGATACAGTGATTGATACTCCAATAAATAGCTTATACCAGCCATTATACTTTTTCCAATTATTATTTTCATCGATTAAACCTCATTGTATCATGTCAATGGCATCACAATTTGAATAAGTCACGTGTAACAATATTATCGACGAATGGGGTTATAAGTCCCACATTTCTCGTATTTTTTTATTATACTGAGTGTTCCAAATTCAATTCTCACCATTGGGATCTCGGAATCAAGATGATAAGGATAGGAATCTGTTCTATCAACTCCATATAATATGTAATTCATACATAATAAAGGTATTATTGATTATGATATGCACTTTTTGTAGGTGAAATGGTTTTCGGTGAAATTTTCTGAATTTTTAGTATGTTTATGTTATAGAATACGATGAACTGACTAAACTTGCAGAATCGTAGAGTTCATTGATGGACAAATTTTGAAATACAAGGCGATAAAGTTACAAATCGGTAATTTTAATTTGATTATTTTCACGGGATTTGATGGTGACAAGTGCATTTTTTCACGCTCACATCATACAAGTACCTTTATATTATACTCAATATTATCCAGAATCCAGATGGTTTAGATTATTGTATACAGAGTGAAAAATTAAAACATTCTAGTGATGTCTGAAAATTTGATGTGATGGTGAAATATACTATTATCATTCCATCATAAATAGGAATAGATTTCATACAAAGTGATTTGAAGAATTGGAAAGACATATGACCAATTCATTTATACACATCCTGTATGTTCAAGTGAATTGTTATTCTTCGACGATAGCTGATAACGTATGATCATGATTTCGTTGGGATCTATAGGGTAGTCATGAAGATTTTCAATGATGAAAATCACAAAATATCGTGTTTTTGAAATCACCTTGTAACGTATCATTAGTTCGGTAGAAGAACCTAATTATTATTTTATTATATTTATAATATACTCATCATTGTAGTGGTCGACGGAGTTTCATCTGACTCTCTTATCCAAAATGCTGGTATTCCGCAAGGATCAATTATAGCACCAACCCTATATCTACTCCATATGAACGATTTATTGGAAGCAACTTCATGTCCAGTACACAGCTTCGCGAATGATAGTACCCTCCATACCGCCATCTCTTCCAGGGCTCCAATACCAGCCAGGCAAATCAGAAACGAACGAGGAAGAAATGTTGACAACATAAATATGGACTTGGCAACAATTCTAGAATAGGGATCCAATTACTTGGTAGATTACAATGCAAACAAAACACAAGCATGCCTTTTCTCTAGGAAAGCCGATCTCACTGTGCCCATCATAACCCTGTCAGGAGTAACCATACCTTTGAAGACATCCATTTCGATGCTTGGTATCACTATCAGCAATAACCTTCCCTGGGAAAATCACGGGAGATCAATTGCTAAACGTGCATCCCAAAAACTTGGTTTTTTGTTTCGGGCCAGGAGCTATTTCACTTCTTCGTCAGCTGCTTATGATCTATAAGGCACAGATCCGAACTGTCCTGAAATACTGTTCCCATATTTGGAGTGCAGAACCCAAATATACCCTGAAACTGTTGGATTTTGTTCGAAAAAAGGGCAATTCGTCTCGTGGGTGATGCCTCCCTCACAAACTCACTCTTCTCAGGAACACCGTAGAAAAGTTGACGATCTGGCTCTATTTTATAGATATTTTCATAGACGATGCTCTTCTGAAATATCAAAAATTGTCCCTCCCTTGGCAGTCCCCGCGAAATTAACCCGTCGAGTTGAGGCTTCGCACCGTTTATCCAACGAACAGCGATGCTCTGGAACACATTGCCAAGGAAGGTGTTCCCTGAGGCATATAACCTCCAGAAATGTAAGAAGAACACCAACTCCTATCTTATTTCCCTTGGTTCTCACGATGTTCTCTGATCATTCTAGGATATCCCTTTTTGTGGGAACCATAACATAAAAAAACTGTCCTGTCGTCGAGATTGTCGTCCTGTACATGGGTTTGCCCAGCTGGCAATGATTAAACATGTCTTTGGGAGGCAAGATGTCATAGAGGGAGAAAACTAGGTTCGTCAAAAGGGTGTGGTGATTCTTCTCAAAATGAGACTCAATGATTTCACTTTGATCCTATGAGAGAAAAATGATACGAAATATAATACATAAATAAACTGTTGTGATATAGAAATACTGACATTCTATAATGTCGTTTGAAAATGTTGATATTCTTCTCTATCCTCTTCGGACCCACTACTAAATAGACATTATGATCTTCATGAACATCATTTTTTGTTTTTCATATATATTCAATGAAGGACGCTGAGTGACTGTAATTACAAATGTTTCGATATTTTTTTTTAAATAACGTATGTGATACCTTGGGTGTTGACCTTTGCAAAGTTGTAAAATAATGCAATACTATGAGGAAGTTTCATTTATTTCTGGAAATCTTCGAAACAGTTCCTTTCTACAGAATGACACAACAAAATCTCACAAGCACCACATCGTGCTAAAGTAAGCTTGTTACATACTGGCTTGCGACACATTGATTTCAATTTTTGCAACTTCCTCATGAATTCTAGCACATGAATAGTATGTTCTGTCCTCAAGTTTTTACCAGGAATAGGCTGACCCATTCTTTAGTCGTTTTGGTTGAAGACTTTCTGCATTTTCATCATCAGAGCAATCACGATCTGCTTGGCCATTATACCGTTCCTAAGGTTTTTATCTTCATCTAGATGAATCATCGCATTTTCCAATGCAAATTCGACTTCCTAGTAATCCATGTTCTCTTTTTTTGGCAAAACAGTTATTCTAACAAAGCAGGGTAACTCCGATATCTGAATCGAAATCGAAATTATTATTGGCAAGTTTTTGCAATTCATGTGGACTGAGTGGTTCTGGAGAACAAAATGGATTGTATCGTTGTAAGCCCAAGGTATCACCTATGATACGTAACCTATAATATCTACCAGAATTCGATAATATTCGCTGTTCAGACGATTAGTTTCGATCAACAACAAGTAATCAATGATTCAAATAATAAAAACGATATATCTGTCGAGAATTCAATGTTTCGTTGATTGAAAGACATGTCTGAACAAGGATGGACCAAATTCCATCATTGTAGCGACAATGAAAATCTTTGAACTGATGTATCATATATAGGATACGCCTGAACCGAAGAGGCTATTCAAAAATCTTTCATATTGTACGCTGATGATGATGTCAAACAATTGTTAAACTCTCTACAACATTTGACGAAAGGCCTAATGTATAATGAATGATATTATTGTATTTACCTCAGTTGGTATGTATTGATCGAAATATTATAATGAATAAATAGAAATAATGTATGCAAAGCAATTCTTCATTGAATACCATTCATTGTATCCATATTCAAATCAAACGGTAGTTGGTCCTGTCTCACAATCATTTGGTGTAGCTAGCTAACAGTAAAAATTGTAGTGTCATCGTATACAAAATGGCTCTTGTCCTCAAAAGGCTCTATCTTGGATATGACCACACTTTCGAGAAATTAGCAGGTAAGAAAATTATACAGGGTGTAATTTACTTGATGGCTATAAATATGGGATATGGTTCCTTAACCCTCTTGACTTTCGAGCTATAGGGTGTTAATTGTGTTAATAATAACGCCCTTCTAGTTACGAGTATCTAGAAGAGTTTATGAACGCGTTACATACTATACTTTCTCTACAAACTCATAATTCCTTCATTCGACAAAATTCCATTATTCTGAAAATTTTATTATCGTACCTGAAGCCACACAAATCAATTCGAAGGGAATGGGAATTGAGAATATATTACTATGCAACTTTCGATTCTTTTCGATGTGGATTTTGAAATCATTCCTGAAATTCTCAATCAGTTTTAAGCAGATTTGAACTCCACAATTTTTTCAATTTGTAAAGATTAGAGATATATATTCAATTTTTTGGGTGAAAACTGTGATTTGGACCAAAACATTTCAAAATATCAAATTGAAAGTGGTATTATATTAATAAAAAAATATTCATTCTTGAGAACTTTACCACCCTGTATCTCAAAAGTTAAGACGTTTAGGTCATACGTTCATATGTAATTTTCTACTTAAATTAAATATTGACATTCAATTAGGAAACACCCTGTATAAATCGAAACTTCATGAAATCATTCCTTCACAAAATGAGCTAAGGAGCCATATTAGATATTTTTAGCCATCAATTGAATTACATCCTGTATACAGTGTGTGAACAAAATGATAAAGTACAATATGATCAGTAAGTATACCCATCAGCTTATATTTCAATGTAGTATATGGATTTCAAAATAACGAAAAAATGAAAGTCAACACAAAAAGTAGGTATGTACCTATGGAAATTCTCCAAGAAAGACTTCATGATAAGCTATAAAATGCAAGTCTTATTTGCAAAATACCATCAGTTGTCCAAACTTATTTATACACGCATTTTCTTCAGAACGGGAGACATTATCAACGTTATGAAAAAATTGTCTCAAATGAGAAAGGGCTTTGCACAAAAATGATTCAGCACATACACTATCTTTTTTTTTTAAATTACACCCCCATATTATTATGGCACGTTTGAGTAGCTTATTACCTTACGTACACAATGATACACTCTCCATGAATACACCCTAGATAATCTCAAATCAACAACTCACAATAGCTTATCATATGAGGGAATTACGTCTACCACTATCAAAGATCTAAAGGCGGAATCAGACGACTGATGTAAAATGAGTTATCCTTCGATAAACCACCCCAATCATGTTGTTTTGTAGCTCAGCGATACTGTTATGCTTCGTACATGGCATACACTTCTTGTTTTGAATGATCCCACTAAGAAAATCTGGGGGAAATGAATCTGGGGATCGTGCTGGCCATTGTATTGGGTCAAAAAATGTCTAATCCAGTTTTCCCCAAACTGGTCATTCAAATGTCTAGTACATCAGTCATCTCATTTCGTCTTCTGATT